ACTTTGATTGCTATGCAAATTTTTTAATTTTAGTTTTTAAAAAATTTTGGGTTGGTTTTTGGAAATGGAATCTCTCTGTATAATCCATGCTGGCCTTGAACTCACTGTGGAGCCCAGACTGGCTTTGAACTCCTAACCCTGCCTCAGCCTGCCCAGTGCTGGGTTATGTCTATGCTTGCCTTTGTTTTTGTGTTTGAAAAGACAGTTCTGTTACATTTTTTCAGGTAAACAGAATCCTCAGAGCTGCACAGGCGTTCTGTATTTGTTTGTTAGGTGCTCACTACCAGACTTTTTAACAGTTTCTTCAGTAAGTTTTTCCTGTCATCTCTTAAAATTGGCTGAATTTTATAGTTAAGTAACGTTTTCAAAATATAAATTCTTAGTATTTGTACTGTATTCTGAGTTCTTTCTTAATGGGGAGAGTTGTCTTCTTGCCTTAATTTTTAAAAATAATATTTATTTTTAATTTTTACTTTTTCTCATTGAGTTTATTGGTGGTACGTTTTAGGTATACAGTACAGTTACATTCATCATTGGGATCTTGTACCTCTACATGACAGGTCTTGGTTCTCATTTTTTTCCCCTTGTCCCTGCCCTCCCTTCACCCTTCTTGCCTTAATTTTGAACTATACCTTGGCTATACTGTATCAGGTCAGTTTTTCTTTCTTTATGAGCTTAGGCAGTGGGCCTAAAATATTTTTGTTGCTGTGGAGATGACCCCACCATCTTTCCCTGTCTTGCCCTCTACTCAGTTGAACTACAGTGCCTCTTGGTGTTGTTACACATTGCACAAAATGCGATTTTCAGTTTGTAGTGTTTCATGTATGCTTTCTGTTTCTCATTTATTGGACTCTGGGGACCTAAATTAACTTCATATTTTATTATCTTTGTTTTCTATAGCTATTGGTTCTTCTGAATTGCTTTTGTATTTTTTTTTTCTTAAAAATATTTATTCAAGACTTTCTTTCACATGGTTGTGGTGGCGCGTGCCTGTAATCTCCACACTTGGGAGGCTGAGGCAGTAGGGTAATCCTGACTTCGAGGCCAGCCTGGCTACATAGTGACACCCTGTCTAACTTCCCCTCCTCAATTTTTTTCCTTTCAGTAGTATGTTTGTTTTCGACAATATCTTTTCTGTGCCATTCCAATTTAAATTTCTAATTTTGTAATGTTTTATTTATGTAGTGTTGGGGTAGTTTTGAGAAATAACTTCAGGTAGTGAAATTTACTCCTTGGTTGCTCTCTTAGGCTGTTGGAGTCAGTAGGATTGGTCGAGGGAATACATTAAATACGGAACACATAATTTATAAGGTTATTTGATGATAATTACCCAAAGAGTCAAATACAAAGGAGTTAACCGCATACGAGAAGCCAGAAATATTCAACTGAGGGCCTGGATCACAGCAGTTTCCCACACAAGTCCAGGTAAAGGCTTAGAGTCCAAGGCAGTGTCCTCCAGTCCAGCCAGTGGCCTGGAGCACATGGCAATGTCTCCTGCTTGTCTGTATTGAGGATCTGCACCTGGAAGGTCCAAAGGCCCGTGGCAGAAGCCAGAAAACCTATGCAGGTGAGATGAAGGATCTGTGCCGCCAGGCTGAGGGATCTGCACTGGAGCCAGGAAGCCATGCTCACGGTGAGGATCAGAGCTCCCCTGACCAGAACAGCATCCATTCCCAGTGACAGTGAGGCCCCGAGCTCCTCCTCCGATGAGAACAGCCAAGTCTGGGTCAGGAAAACCATGCGCAGCAAGCTTCTCCTAGAAAATCAACAGGCCAAGATCTTGCCCTCCTGTTCTCTCTCTGCCCTTGGTAACAGTCATCAGGTGGGTCCTCCGGGCCCAGCCTCGCGGACTCAGTTGAGCTGGGCGCTCCGAGCTGCCCATTAGTCCACTGCAGTAGTGTTTATATTATTTTTAGTCATCATCTCTTTGCCTTGCAGCTTGTTTTTAATCTTGAGCATGTTGTTTGATCTTGCTCTTTTTGGATATTCGCTCCACTGGGATTTAGGTACTTTCTTGAAAATATTAACCGTTTTTGAGACCATGACTTGAAGAATAAAGATTTTGCAAATTTTTCTTTTGAAAACAGCGTCTCATCTCACTCTAATTCAGGCTGGCCTTAAACTTGCTTTTCTAAAATCTTGTATCACCCCACCCCTTGCTTGTCAGTTTTTAATGTACTATTATCTGCCCTTGCCTCCAACTTTGTTGGCTTGTTGGTTGATTTGGTTGGATGTTTTAACTTTTTGTTTGTTTGTTTTTGTTTTTTGTTTTTTGTTTTTTTTTTTTGGTACTGGGGATTGAACTTGGGTGTTTGCGCTTGTAAGGCAGGCCACCAAACCGCTGAGCTAAATTCCTGCCCCTTGGATGTTTTAACTTTTAAAAAATTTGTTAACATTGGAAAAATTTGTGATTTCAAATTACCTTTTAAAGTGCCTTATCATTCACCTTTTAATGGAGATAAGGGTGTTTTATATTTTAATGAACATATTGCATTATTTGAATAAAGACACTCTCTTCTTTTTTTTTGGTATGGGGATTGAATTTAGGACTTTGCTCTTGCCAGGCAGCCTCGGCCCCACTGAGTTAAATCCCTGACCCAAGACATTCTTATTAGAAATGCAGTCAGTTCCGACAAATAAATTGAGTTATCTTAAAATAGCTCATACTTTCCTTTTCATTCCTATCTTGTGGCCAAGTGTTAATTTCTAATATTGGGCTTCCTGATGGCCTGTCGTTGCAAATTGATGACAATGAAATTCTTTCTTATATGCTAGTAAGCCTTTGCTAATTTACTCTATAGAGATTTTCTGAGAAGTAACTTCAAGCTGTTAATACTGCATTCCTTCTGGAATTCACTTACTAACTTGCGCCAAAGGTTTGTCACCTGTTCATTGACTACCTGGTATTCTTAAAAAAATCTTGAGATAACATAATTCTTTGGGCCTGAATGTTGGCACTTAAGTGATATCTTCACTCCTTTTTTTGGTGGTGGGAGTGTTTGTTTACTGGTGAGTGAGCCCAAGTAGGGCCTTACACATGCTAGCCAGCCCTCTACCACTGTGCCACATCCCCAGTCCATTTTCATTTTATTTGGAGAAAGTATGTTGAAAAATTGTCTTGGTCTGAGGCTTTGATCCTCCTGCCTCTGTTTCCCTAATAGCTGAGAATGTAGGTATGTACCACCACACGAGGCCCCTTTAATGTTCCCTGAAGAAAGTTTTACCTGCTTTAGTTTGAACACTGTCCTTTTGTTGATAGCTTTACTTTTTAAACCTTGGATCAAAAACTCTTGTATAAGAAAAGTTGGGTATTTTCCTTCCATGTGGTATAAGTTGGATTATCGGTGACCGGCTAGTGGCTGACCAGGTGGTCACTGTTGTCCTGTGTATATGCCTGGGCCAGGTGCCTCCCTTCTTTTCCGTGTGGCCAGTTCTCCACTTGGCCTGCCTATCAGGAGAGTCTGGAATCATTCTGATTCCAACATGGTGGCTCAGATCCGTGGTGCCCCAGGTGGAGGTCCTGATAACCTTCTTAAAGCCTAGTGTCTAAAAGCTGTTCACCAACTCAGGTTTAGGGGCGTGGAGAAGGAGGACATCTTAAGATAGGAGCAGTGCTGTCCCTTGTAAGAGTGGCAGTGTGCTTTCCTTAGGAGTCATCTGCCACAACTAAATTATCTCTAGAAAATTTGCTCCAGAGTTTGAGTAAAAACTGTTAATGTATTTTCTGTTCCAGCAGTATTAACAATCAATTAAAATGTCTGAAGTACTAGCTGGGCATGGTGGTGCACACCTGTAATCCCAGCACTCAGGAGGCTGAGGCAGGAGGATTGCTGTTAGTGTGAGACCAACTTGGGTTACATAGTGAGTTCCAGGTGAGTCTCAACTACATAGTGAGACCCTGTCTCCAAAAACCAAAACCAAAACCAACAACAACAAAAAATTTAAGTACTTAGACTGGGTCTTAAAAGCAAAAAGGGAAGCATTTGGAGTATTGTATTAAAACATGTATACTTAATTTTATGCTTATTGTTCTGCTGGTATGCAGTCTCTTTTAAGGTAGGGACTTAGAAATCAGTCTTTCATGCCTTGAACAGATTAAGTGCTCTGAATAGTTAAAGCAAAGCACTATAAAATAAATTCAACTCTTGATATTGCAGCAAATTTTACACCAGTACTGTTTTCCTTTTGTGGTACTGGGGATCAAGCCCTGGGAATGCTCTTTCTGAGCTGTGTTCCCAGCCCTTTTTGTTTTGCGGAGACGGGGTCTCACTAAGTTGCCCAGTCTATAATTTGGCTTTGAACTTCGAATCTGCCTGCCTCAGTGTCCTGAGTAGCTGGAATTACACTTATGTGCTGCTACCCTGGGCTCTGAAATACTGTTTTTTAACCAGTCTGGTTCAAACAGTTGAGAGTGTTTTGGTTAAAATTCTTTAATGTTAAGCAAAATGAGGCTTCTAATATGTAATTATTTTCTTATTTAGTCACATTGATTTTTAGATTTAGTTTACTAATTTTATTACTTGATAGCAGCACCTTGACTTTGTCTTCTTTCTCTTTTGTTGTTGATAGAGGTAACCGATTTATCCATTTACTGAGTAGATGTCGCCTGAGAGCTCATGTCCTGATCTTTTTTCTGGTGCATGGGATTCAGTGCATGTGGGGAGAGTAAGGTTAAACACTGAGGTGCTATATAAGCTTTAAAAGTACTACTTAAGTACTTGGTGTTTTAATAAAAAAAAGGTATATATTTTGCCAAATATAAGTAACAAATAGTTGCAGATTTTGGTTGATGTTGTTATTTTTAGATTGATCAGGGTATGTTATTTTAAAATCCATTGCTTTTTTGTATATAAAATTACTGTAACAGGATTAAGTTTTAAAATTATTTTTTGATAAAAGTATTTGTTCAAGTGTGAAACTTTATGGAAAGAATCTTTATTGCATATAGATGGATTATAATTTAATTTTAATTTTGGATTTTACTTTTGTTCACTTTGTAGAAATACAAAGAGAAGGACAAACACAAACAAAAACACAAGAAGCAACCAGAACCATCACCTGCTTTGGTTCCATCACTGACTGTAACAACAGAAAAAGTAAGTGATAAGTATCTTATTTTATTTAATACTTGCTATGTGCTGAGTTTTACCTTTGAGAAATATTTTTACTCCCAGTGTCCTAATTCTCCTTTTCTCACCTCTCTAACCATACCTTAAGCACTTAGGATTCCCACTTTTTGGCACCTTCTGTTTATTCTAGTGGTCTCCAGACAGTAAGTATGGATAGCAAGTGAGGGGCACTGGGAATTAAGAGTTTGGGCCTGAGAGGTGGACTTGATCCCTGTGATTTGAAGTCTGGCCTCACCACTTGCAGATTGAAGTATAAAATTTATCTTTCTGTGACTCAGTTTCATCATCTGTAAAGTGGAGGAAATGGTGAAATTGGATAATACAATTAAAATGATTAGAGTGGTATCTGGAATCGTATTATTTAGCAAGTGTTAAATATCAGTAGGATTATTACATGATTATGGTGAAAATGGAGGCAGGATCAGGTGGTTGGAACAGAGTAAGCAAGTGAGGAAGCATTGTACAAGCCAGCGCAAGGGTTTTGTGTACTTTGAATGAAAAATGAGTCATTGGAAGGTCTCATTCTTTCTTCTTCTTCTTCTTTTTTTTTTTTTTTTGGTACCGGGGATTGAATTCGGGTCCTTGTGCTTCAAGGCAGGCGGTGGAACCACTGAGCTAAATCCCCGGCCCTGGAAAGTTTCAAATGGAGACATAATGTGGTCTGGTTTGAATTTTTTTTTTTTTTACCGGGGATCAAACTTGGGACCTTTCACTTGTGAGGCAGGTGGTGACACCCCTGAGCTAAATCCCCGGTCCTGGTTTGAATTTTGAAAGGAACTCTGGCTGCTTTGTTGCGGATGGAATGAGTGGAGTAGGAGCAGGGTTAGTAACATCAGTTGTTGCGGTCACCCAGCCGAGATGGCGATCACAGAGGGATGGTGGGAGAGAGGAGCACATTCTGAGTGCCTTTAGATGTAGAACCCATGTGATTTTCTCACAGGTAAGTCAGAGGTGTAAGAAAGAGAGGACCCACATATGATCCCAACGGTTTTGGGCTAAGTTAGGTACAAGGAATGGAATTGATGTTAACAAAGATGGGAAGCTGGGGTGTGGTGGCACACACTTGTGAGGCAGCACTGGGGAGGCTGAGTCAGGACATTGTTGCAAGACTGATGCCAGAGTGAAGTACAGAGCAAGGGTCTGTCTCAAAAAATCCAAACACCCCCGCAAAAAAACCAAAACAATGATAGGAAAGATTAAAGGTCAGGGATGTGAAGAATTCAATTTCGGATATATTGTTAGCTTTGCATTGCCACCATAAATTTAGCAGCTTAGAACTGCCTAAACTTTATGTTACTGTTCTGTGGGCGAGAAGGTCTGGATGGACTCGGATCATGTACTCCAGGTACAGGGAAAAATCAGGGTGTTGTTGACCCGGGTTCTCTAAATCTGCATTCGTTCATTCAGTACCAGGTATCGAACTTGGGTCCTTGTGCTTGTGAGGCAGGTGGCACTGCCACTGAGCTAAATCCCTGGCCTGAATCTGCTTTTTTGTTTGTTTGTTTGTTTTGTTTTTTAAGACAGGGTCTCACTATGTAGTTGAGACTGACGTGGAACTTGCTATGTAGCCCAGGCTTGTCTTGAACTCACAGCGATCCTCCTGCCTCAACCTCCCGAGTGCTGGGATGACAGGCTTGCACCACCACACCTGGCCTGAATTTACTTTTAAAAGTCATTCAGGGTGCTGTAATTTGGTTCCTTGTGGTTCATAGGATTCAGGTGCCCACTTTTCATTTTGGTTGCCAGTGGTGGGCCCATCCTGAGCTAGGAGTCTGCCATGGGATCTCCTCTGTCTTAGAGCCAGGAGTGATGAGTCGAATCTTTATGTTTGGAATTTCTCTTTCTACTTCTGTTGCAGCCTACCTACTTTTAGTCAGAAAATAATTCTCTTTTAAGGGCTTATGTGACTAGTTTGGGGCTACCTGAAAAATTTCTCTGTTTTAAGGTTTGTGAGCTTGATTATATCCAGGAAGTCCCTGTTGCTATGTAACAGAAAGTATTCACAGATTTCAGAGTTTAGCATGTAGATACCTTGGCGGCTAGTCTCCCCGCTGCGGAGGTGAGGTATCTGTTAGCCCTGTAGCCAGGTGGATGCATTATCTGTCATTCAGGAAAGAGGTCAAACTCTGGGTACAAATTTGGGAGTTGTATGCACGTGGGGGCATTTAAAACTGTGAGCTGGATTATATCATCAAGGGAGGAGTGAATAGAGGTAGAGAAAGAAAAGGCTTGAGGAGAAGTGTGATCATCAAAGGACTTGAAGAGAACCAAGAGGACGTGGCACTCTGGGAGCCAAGCAGGAGAGACGATGGAATAAGTGAACTGTGTTATACTGGGGGAACTGGCTATTGGATTTAGTCAAATGGAGACCACTGAGGTAAAAAACTGGATTTAATCAGGATGGAAGGAGAAAAATCAGAGTGTAGATGACTGCTTTCAGGAACTTGGCTATTAAGAGGAGTACAAGGTTACTGGCCAAGGAAGTGGGGAGGAAAAACATACTTTTTAAATGAGAGAAATGATAGCATGATAGTGTGCTAGAAGGAATGATCCAGCTGGGTGTGGTGGCACACACCTGTAATCCTAGCACTTGGGAAGCGGAGGCAGGAGAATTGTTGCCAGTTCAAGGCCAGCCTGGGCTACGCAGTGAGTTCAAGGCCAGTCTGAACTTCATAGCAAGACTCTTAATCTGAAAAAAAGGGGGAATAATCCAGTAGAGAGAGGAAATAATAATAAAGAAGACAAGAAAATTGTTAGTGATAACTGGAAAATTATGAAAAGAATGAGATCTGTCCACTTGAAAAGTCGCCTTTAGTACTGTAATGAAAGAGAAGGCAGCGAAACATGGGAAATATCTGAGGTTTAAAGAAATAATATAGGGGTGGTATTTGTGGAAAGTTTTTTCAGTGAGGCATGAAGCTAGCTGTGAAGATGAGAGTAGTAGTATGAGATTTGAGCAAAGAAAAATAGTAAGGGGAAAGAACATTTACTAGGGAAACTTAGTGTGATTGCTGGGTAGCCAGAAGATTCCCCTTGAGGGCATGGTTAAGAATTTTAAGGGAGACTTATTTTGCATAGCATTTTATTTTCACTTCTATTTAAAAAACTAGTTAGGTTGTTGTTTTACCTACCATACGGCTGTAATGACTGAGATGAAGGAACAAGGGGGCTACCAGGAGATATGTGGGACTGAGGCAGTAGAGGGCAGAACTTAGTCTTCTGGGGACTAACATGCAATAAGCAAGGGTTGAGTCATCCGTGTTAACCATGACAGATTTAGGGCAGGTGAGGGATGGAGTGGGCTGGCAGTATAGGTCGCTCTTTAAGCCTAAGGGATGGTAGAAGATTTGGGCCATGGATTCTTTTCAGGGAAAGGTCATTTTAAGGCACATTTACCATGTTCTTTTGTTTATAGAAAGATAGGGCTTGGTCAGGGAATTTAAGGCTGTTTTTTCTTTTGTCTCACTATGCAGCTGAGACTGACCTAGAACTCACTGTGTAGCCCAGGTTGACCTTGAACTGGCAGCAGCCTCCTGCCTCAGCCTCCCGAGTGCTGGGATTACAGGCGTGCACCACCACTCCTGGCTTCAAGGCTGTTTTTTTCTGAGCTTTAGGGCTCCTAGATTCTGTGTTTAATGTTAGTTAGTAGAGCACATTTAAGTCAAGTCACAGGGAATTTTAGTAATTCACTACTGTAATTTCTTTTTTGAGACAGGGTCTCACCATGTAGTTCAGGCTGGCCTTAAATTTACTGTTTAGCTCAGGCTGGCCTCAAAACTTGGGGTGATCCTCTTTCCACAGCTTCCCAAGTTCTAAGATTGTAGATGTGTACCACCATGCCTGGCTCATGTAATTTTTAAATGCCTGTGTTGTTAGCTGGTTTCGATTATACATTTTTGAACAACTTCCTCAAGCTTCATCCTTAGCTTAGTTCTTTGCATGTTTATGTGAATCTTAAAATATGATTGTCAACCTACAGAAATAAGACGACTAGTATTTTGGAATTGTGCATTCAATCTATAAAATAATTGAGGGAGAATTAATATTTTAAAGATTGAATCTTCACAAGATATCTTTTTTTTTCTTTTATTGACTCTATTGGTATATTTTAGGTATACAGTACAGTTACATTCTTTACTGGGATCTTGTAGCTTTACATGACAGGTGGTCTTGCTTCTCATTTTTTCCCCTTGTCCCTGCCCTCCCTTCACCACCTCCTCCCCTCCCCGTTTACACTTTATTTCCATTTTTTCATATCTCTTTTCCCTTACTACCTTTCCCCTACCCTTCCCACTTTCCCTACACCTTTAGCCCTTTTCTTTCCATTTCACAATGTCAGTTATCTCATTAGGATCTTATGTAGTATTACACAGTTTATTCACAGCGAGAAACTATTTGGTATTTACACACGTGTGACTTATTTATTTCACTTAGTATATCCTCAATATGTATCCATTTTCCTATGAATGAATCTAATTACTCGTTCTTTATGGCTGAGTAGTATTCCATTTTATAGAAAAACCACATCTTCTTTATCCAGTCTCCAACTGATGGGCAAATGGGCTGTTTCCAAGTTTTAGCTATTACAAACTGTGCCACTATAAACATGGGTGTGCATATATCACTATGGCATGATATAATTCTTCTGATTGGTTTGGAAAGATACCCAGAAGTGGGATGGCTGGGTCAAATGGAACCTCTAATCCCAGTTCTTTGAGGCATCTCCATATTGATTTCCATAGTGGTTGCACCAGTCTGCACTCCCACCAACAATGGAGAAGGGTTCCTTTCTCCCCACAACCCTGCCAACATTTGTTATCCTGTGATTTCTTGATCACAGCCATTCTTTGTGGGGTGAGGTGGAATCTCAGTGTTGTTTTCATTTGCATCTCTCGAATGACCAGTGATGTGGAACATTTTTTCATGTATTTGCTGCTTTTACTTCTTTGTCTGAGAAATGTCCGTTC